ATTATGTCTGATGTAGCTCTGACTCGAACCACTTCCATTCTCTCTGCCTATGATTTTATCGGCAGTATCAGAAAATGGCGGTGATAGTAGTTCCATCTCAAAAATGGAAGCAATTGGCGCTAGTGTACGGGGGGAGGTCAAAACTTTATCGTAACTATAAACTCTTTAACTTCTTCTGGTACTGCATCTCTTACAGCTGATGTTGATCTACGATTCTTCAAATAAATAATTGTGTTCATCGCCTTTACTTTTGTCCAGTACTGTTTGTTTAAGCCTGCATCGAATAACATACTTCTCATTTTCTCAATAAGAGTCCTGTTATAGTTCTCTCTGCCACGTCATTTTACTGTGGCGTATAAGGTACGGTAGTTTGATGTCTTATTCCATGTTGTTTCAGATAGCTCTCAAACTCTTGACTAGTATATTCGCCACCATTATCAGTCCTCAGGCACTTAATAGATTTATCTGTCAAATTTTCAGCCATTGCTTTAAATTCTTTAAATTTTGAAAGTACTTCACTTTTTTGACGCAACATGTATCCAAAAATCTTCCTACTGAAGTCATCTACAAAAATAAGACAATATCTTGCACCGCCCCATGATGATTCTTCAATTGGTCCTACTACGTCACTATGGACTAACTCAAGTAAATTCGATGCCCTCCATGACTTCATTTTTGGAAACTTTTGAACAGTCTGTTTCCCTTTCAGGCAGATTACACATGGCTCGGATTCAACTTCTAGAAGTTTGATGCCAGTAATGACTCCATTATTTAAGATCCTCATGTAACCGGATTTTATCATGCAATTTTGCAATAACCGTAATTTATATATCTCTCTCAAAGTTCTGTTTTTGTCAGTATCGGACTTCTGTCTCGAAGAGCCTTATCGTCAGCGTGTACTTTACAACGCCCGCAAAGTTCTTGTTACTGTCAATGAACGATACTGATTCTTTTTTTATTTTCAGCAACACCGAATTTATTCGCATATAAATCTTACCAATTTACCTCTTCTTTCAGGTACTTACTCGGTCGCCACTTCGTTTGACCTCCAACGAAGAAGGATAAGCCGAAAGCAACTGCCACCGATGATCCTAGTTTGGCCCGGTGTTCTTTCTCGCAAGCTGCCTCGGAAGATCTCACTCCGGAAATGAATGTGATACGACCACATGCAGGTATGTAGCGGGAGATAGTGTGGGTGCGCTCAATAATGTCTCTTTTCTTTTGATTTATATTGTTTATTATAATCTTTAAATGTTCACATGCGCACTCTTCACACATTCACTCGTTTTTCTAACTCGCTCGTAATTAGAGTACGCGGACCCGCGGTAACACGGTCGCGTCTCCGTCGCGTACGATCCCACGAAAAGTCGTCGGTCAATTCGCGTTACCGTTTTAAAACGCAATAAATACAATGCAAACATGTTTTCCGTAAACGCGGAAAGTCGTCGGTCAATCCGCTTCGCGTACTAACGAATTCGTCGATAAGATGGTCGTATCGTTAAAGAATTCACGCTATGCAACTCGTGCATTTACAATTTGCGTGATTCTGGCGAGAAACTCACGAAATCGCGTTTAATCGCGTTAATTACGACACGCGGTATAATCTCGTCGCGTGCGGGACTGTTCCTTCCCTTTGAGACTCGCAACGACGTTCTCAATTCGGTAGCAGCTAAGAAAAGACGCTGCTGTTGGCGGGCGAGCGGTTTATATACCTCCCCACCCCGTCAACGTCTCACTCTCGTACGTTCCCCTTCCTTCCACAATTTAGGAAAGAAGGGTACGTGGAGGGTCCAAAGTTGTTCCCATCTCTGTTTATGGATGCCTTCTAGAAGTTTCTAGAAGCTTCTAGAAAGAATAGTGGATTATCCACCTTGTAAATGAATTCGTGTCTTATTGCGGGCCTTCTATGCCCTGATTGTCTTATTTGCCTTATGGCGTACCAAGATGGATCAAAATAATCATAACTCTAACTTTGTGGTAAATGAAATTCTATTAATGATTGTTTTCAGGTACCTCTCGGAGCTGATGTGGACATCGAACTCGAGGGATGAACGTTTTGTGGATCTCATCAATCTTGGAAATTAAACTGAAATGGTAAGTATATCTCTGATTTACTTTCTTTTCACTTTGTTACAGCTAAACTACGATATACGAAATTAAATGTGGATATTATGTCTTGGGAACAACTTTGCTTTTGGTTTATGGATATATAATATATTTTATTTAAATCATGCACACACACACACTCATACATAGAAAATACAAAAGATTTCACAAAAATATAACATATAATATCGCATACCCCAAATAGGTCTTTACATCGAGTGTAGCCTCTAAACAAAATCAATATATCATAAAAGTAAATTAATATTGTGCGCCTAAATTTGGCCTTCAGATTGCACGTAATTGGTGCTACACATGTGGTTCTTGTTTCACCCACAAATCATCTTAAACTAATCATGAAGTACAACATAATATATGACAATTTCTCGCACTAGACCGAGTACATATAATCTTCAAAATAAAATATAATAAAATAAATAACATGCTTCATCTCATTATTCGCGATATTGATTAAACTCGGTCTTTACTTAATTTGTCTAAACGCAATAAAGTTCGCAACCTGAGCAACATTGTAAATTATAAAACCGTAATACTGAATATAAAATATAATCTCGCATATAATTAAACAACAAAAATAAACAATGACCAGTGAATCGATTAATAACATAAATCCAAAGAAAATAAAATTGAAATAAAAGTAGATAAAATAATGAAATAAAAAAATAAACAATTATCTTATTATTCTTTGTCCGCAGTTGATTCGGCCTGATCGTTTGGTTGTTGGCCCTCTCCCAAATCGGTATTTTCATTCACTTTTCTCACCTCATGTGAGATAAATGCGTTCAACAGATCCACCGCGCATTGCGCCCTGCCAAAAATGTCATCTTCCATGCCTCTCTCATAATTAAAGGTTCGTATTCAGGACCAAGTCCATTAAGCATAACAAAGCTAACGAAATCATTTTCGATATTAACACCAATGTCAACTAGCTTATGTACGGTTGTTAAAATGTTATTAATATATTCTTCCATAGAATTATAATTACAAATTTTAACGCCAAAAAGATGTCTTTGCAGTTCAAATTTTCTGTTCATACTTTTAGTTTCGAAGGCTTTCTGCAAATTGTCCCAAGCTTCCTTGGCCGTTTTAGCATTACATGGACGTAACATGTCGGCTTCATGCTCAAGCATATTTTCGCTAACGCTCTATTATTTTTGTCTGGATCACCACCCGTCGAATCACTCACAAGCTCCCAGAGACCTTCAAGCATGAGGCTCATCTTTATTGCAAACTTCCATGAGGCATAATTTGATTGCCCATCTAATTTTTCAATATTCGGCACTGCCGAATATTGAAGTAGAAATTGTAATTGGTATTGCGCTAGCGGTAGTGGCCATGTTCCACGAATATAACAAAAAAAAGATAGAGCCGTTTATACACGAATTACGATTTTCTTAAAGAATATTATTATCTTTTACTTTATTTGCGTTCTTCTAGGCCCATAACCTGTTAAGCATAGATAATAATGATAGGCTGTTCTACTCCATTAACAAATATGTGAAAGTACAGCTGCTATTCCCGTGGGACTTGCATCGCAAGCTAGTGTAAGAGATAATTCTGGATTGAACGGCATTAGGACACGGCTGTTGGCAATTTCTTCTTTTAACTTTATGAAGACTGCTTCACAGGCTGTCCATTTGAATGTTGTATTTTTCCAAAGTAGACATCGTAGAGGATGTGTAATAGTTGATGCATATATATTGGATATAAATCTTGTGTAGTGTTATGTACCGCGACGCAACGACGCCGCACGTTATCGATGGTCCTCTTGAGTTCCTAAGCTGACCTTATGTTTAGGTCGTATCCTAACACTACCCTGCTAAAAATGTTCGATTAAAACCGATTAAAACGTAATCCGTTTTAATCGAATTTAATCGGTTTTAATCGGTTCAATCCGTGCCCG